CCATTTTTGATCTAATTTTCCTGAATGTGTTTTGTCTTTAGCCGCTTCAAAATACAAAACTTTATCTCCTATATTAAATGTTACAGAGATCTTGGTATTCTTATCATGATATTTCTTTTGTTTTTGTTGTGCAAGTTGTATTTGTGTCTTTGCATCTTGTCGTACTAATGGCAATTTGTTGATCAGATTATCAACTCTATTTTGTAAAAGAAAATTTTGATTGGTACAAATATCATCAGGATCATCAGGATTATCAATTGGTAACATTACATTTCATCTATAGACCAAATAAAAAGGTTCTATTTTTGTGGCTGATTGTTTACTTGTATGGTAAGCAAATAATACAGGTGAAATATATTGGTCCTATTGGGTAGACTTTTCAGCTAATTTTGCCAGAGATTCACATAAAGTTCTATTGAATCTTTCTACTAATCCATTCATCCTAGAATGATAAGAAGTTGATAAATTATGTCTAATATGGAATTGTTCTATTAATTGAGTAACAAGTTGATTATTGAAATGAGATCCTCTATCAGATAAGATTTTTGTAAGACATCCATGTCAGCAAATTATATCCTCATATAAAAATTTGACAACATTTTTAGCAGTAGCATCTCTTACTACTCTAGCTTCAGGCCATTTAGTTAAATAGTCAACAGCGATTATAATATATTTGTTTCCTTTACTTGTTCGTGGTAAAGGTCTAACAAAATCTATTTTAATTCTATAGAATGGTGAATCAACTGGAATAGGATGTAATTTATTTTAGATTTAGGCCTTCCTCTTTGTTGATATGCATCACATGCTTGAATATAAGATCTAATATTTTCGTATATTTGAGGCCAATAATATCATGTACGAATTTTGTTAAACATTATATCAGTAGAAAAATGTCCAGCTGTTGGATCATTATGCATCATATAAAGGATTGCTTCTAATTCTGATATTTTGATTACTCTTAACAATTTTTCTGGATTCTTTTTAGGTTCCTTATATAATAGATTATTTTTGACTTTAAAAAACTTTGCTTATCTTTTTAATTTGGTGATATCTTGAGAATTAAAGGAATGGGAAAACATATTTAAGGTTAAATATACAAAAAGGTTATTATATTGAATAGTATCCATGATTATTTGAGCTGCTTATTACAATGTAGACACTTTAGCTTTCACTCTAAAATATGTATTAAAATAAATATTACTATTTTAAATAATAAAAAGAATATTTAATAAGATAAGGGGTTCATTAAAGAATCAAAATGTTCAAAGGATTCATAAAGTTGTGCATAGGCATTTTCTTGTTGTACCATAATAGGTTCATTTCACCAAAGATCATTAGATAAGTAAGTTGGATTCATATCAGGTTGAATCTTCCCAGGACCGAATCCAATAATACAATTATGGATAATAGTTCCATAAGATAAGTTTGTTTTACATGCTTTACAATACGTATGGATATGATGGTTTTCAATATCACAATAAAAGATATATTGCGAACCACCTTTAGTAATTAGTTGATTAGCAATTACTTGCTTAATCTTCAAATTTTCCTTATAAATATCCTCAAGTTCTTTTTGATCACATTTATATCCAATTGTAATTAAAGGAGTATTTTCGAATTGTTGAGATAATTCTTGTTCAAACTAAGGATGGTACTGCAATTGTTTTTTTAAATCTGCAATATTGCGGATTTTTGAATTAAATTACGCATAGTAATCCGC